GCCCAGAGGAGACGTATTTGCGTTTTCCTTCAACAGAAGAACAATATGAATATAAATATAATAATAGAACAGAAACAATTCATGTCAGTCTTATAATAAACAATGACATGGACAACACATAGAAAATAAAACAATTCTAAAACAATTTGGTGTGTGTATGTGAGCGCTCGCGTTATCTTTCCAAAAGGTTTATGGAACGTTGATGCTTCCATCTCAAAACATGAGCACCAACATTCAAACCAGGCACAAATAGGTTTACAACCCTCAATTTGATGGAATTCACTTTGAAAATGATACGCTTTCAATTGTATAATGATAATGGATAAATGCTTTGTTGATTATTCAAAGTTTGAAACTTCATAATTTCCCTCAAACGAAAACATGGATTTAACTTTACCTTATAATATATAATGCAGACATCCAAACCATTATTTTCATTAGATATAATCAATCATTCATTTTCAAAACTCATATTCTTATGTGGTATTTTTTGTGCATTGAAGAACAAATCTCTGTAAAGCATTTATCTTATTGAGAGTAGCACCAAATTATGATCGAAGTTCAATTTCTAAGACATAAATAACAGAAAATCATAGAAAAATAAGATTCTGTTGGTTTTGTTATAACTTTTAATCACAAAATATTAAATAAATATTAAAACAAACAACTTAGTTAACGTGTGTAACAAACTGTAGTGCTTACATGTACATTTTACTTTGTCATTGTAGTTAAGATGATTATAACAATAATAAACATAAACATAATAAACAAGAGAAACTCTTAGCATTGAAACCCTATTCACTTAGTAGGCTTGCAAATATAATGTCCAATGAATAACAATAACAAAGTCTTTATATTCAGTTATATACACAAAATCCTACAAAAATATGAAACAATTCCTTTACATTAACAATAATCATGGTTCAGTTACGGAACATATTTTCAGAATTCAAATTGTTGTGTGGTTAGCATAATGTGCATTGAAAAAAAATCTCTTTGAAACATCTATATATATTTATATGATACTGGTAAAGAAACTGGACCCATATTTTTAGACACCGAATGAATCATTCAGAAATTTTATGTTAAAAATGAAACAAAATGTTGTAGTATGTTTTCATGTATTGAATGGCTTTACAAAAATATTCAAATTCTTTTTGAAAAATAAAACCTTTTATATCTAAAATAAATTTGTTTGAACGATTTTTCGCTGATGAATTTAAACCTTAACCATGTTAACCCGCTGTATTCCTTAGCTCCCATTTTGGGATCTGTCCGTAATCAATTTTAAGGATATCACAAGATGACAATTAAAAGTTAGCCAACTGTATAGAAGAGCCTGGTCAGACTGCACGGATATTGACAAAAGGCTGGGCTCAATTTTTGCTTCCGGAAAAGTAAGAATTGATATGGTTAAACATATGTAAATTTGAAAGTTACATGTAAGTGACATTTGCTATCATGTGCAAAAAAACGACCGATTTTTACAAGAAATGGTTACATAAACTTCACTTGAAGTGAATTACAGTAAATTGTAAGAAAACCAATTACACAGTATTAAATCTTGAAATTATATAAAAAGTACACATTTGCAGACCGGACTGAAATCTTTTTAAATCGACTTTGAGAATCACTTGCCAGAAGACATTAACGCCAAAGGGAACGCACAAAACATACACTTTTAATTGCATTCTTATTTGATTTTTTATCTGATTCTACAAAATATATTTCCAACTGATATGCAATACAATAAATGAAAAAACTGGGCGAACTAAGCAGGGTTCAATGCAGCACTGCTTATAGGACATAAATAGTTTCCATTATATTTGATTTATAAAGTCATTTTAGCTGGTTAATGAAAGTTTTCCTTCTATCCTGTCCAATTATAAACATATTGATAGTGAAATTTAATATGTCTCAAAAGTTTTACTCAAATCAAATACATCATCAAAAATGTTAGTTTTCTTTCTTTATTAAAGTGTTTTTATAGCAAACGAAAGAGAATAACACACGTAACAATATCAAACACCGTGAGTAAAAAGCCGTTGGGCAGTAAGTTATAATTTTGTTTACATGTCCACATATGCCTATGATTTATAATCTAAAATTAACAGTTGGAATTTTATTTTTATTTCAATGTCTTATAGTCTATAATTTTAAATTGTTATGATGTTTCTTTTCCTTATTTAGTTTGGTTGTTGATGTTAATTTTCTTAAAGTGTACGGTCACACTTTAATATTTTATTGTGAAGTGGTATCTTTATCCCTGACCATCAGTCGTGAGATTTGCTGTCATCATCACCTTACAAATATCTTGACCATCTTATCAAAGTCCGTACTGAAAAAAATAAATGATGTCGTTACAAGACTCACCTATTGCATGTTAAGGTTTGTCTAAAACTTCCAAAAATAAAAATGAAACCGATGTGTGATGTCTTTGTGTGTATATCTAAAATCCCATATATTTGATTAGGAAAACATTGTTTATAAAGTGATTGCTGTCCCTGAAATGAATATTGTTTCATACGTTTTTTCAGTCTGATTACCCTTTAAAATAATGTTGTTGATTTTCGTACCCGTATTTTATAAAGCTATTTGATATGCTTTGAAAATATCGGAATTTCAAATATAGATACAGATACTAAAAGCACAAAAGATTGAAGTTGAAACAATGTATATAACTTGTAAATAGTATGAACATACTAGTTTTGAATGTTTTCATACATGTTTGCCTTGACAAATTGAAAATGGCCGAGTAGTTGACCGGTCGGTCAAGAAATAAGCATATCTGGCTGCGGGGTTCAAACCACGCCAAGGACAAATTGTTCTTCAGCAAGAAACGTTAAACTCATTGCTTAGTACTGGTTGGTTCCAGAAACGGATTTAAGAATATTTCTTTTACAGCATCGAACTAAAATAAATTCTGTATAAGCTAAAACATAATTTATATGAGAGAGGTTACAGAGGCAAGCAATTAGTAAAGAGTTATAGCAAGCATTACATAAAACATTTTGGAATCGAATAAGACAGATTTTAAAATATTAAGTAAAACACAGAGTACAGGGATTTAGAAATAATGATTACGTGTAACAACATTGAATTATCTATTGTACATAAATCAGGATAACTTAAAAGTGTTACTGTAATTTAAGTACTATATACGATAATTTGTATTCATCTCTTACACAAAACAATATAAGCTGAGTTAAGTTTTAGTTAAGTATTTGAAGGAATAAAACAATTATGTCAATATTGGATCAAGATTGATTGATGAGCGAAAGATAAAATTTAAACGTAAATAAAGGGCGTTAAACATGGTATACAGTATAGAAATACCTTCTGTTAACTTCAGCTTTTACGGTCATCTTCTCTGAAAGAAAAATGATTTTAGTAGAGTGTTAGTATCCCTAATATACATGTATATATAAGCAATTGTAGTTTAGGAGGTTAATTGCATAACATATCAGATGTTACTCGTCAGAATAGTTGATTCTATGTGTTTTCTTTGATAAGTGCATCATTCAATTCTTGTGTTGATACAATTTTAAACATTACAGTCAAAAACAACGCTTCCACAGAACCACAAAACGTCAATAAGAGACACTACAAAATGATGTCACTTTCGAAAAGTTTATAACGAAAATCTAATTTCAGATCAGTGCTATATTCTAGTTTAAAAGGAGACGATAATAGCATATTATATAGGTCATATTACAAACTTATAAGAAACAATGAAACATATAAATGTTTCTTAAGATTTTAATTATATGTAAAAGCTATCATTCATTATTTTAAAGTTTATAAAAAGCATTTGCTCAACAAGGTAAATCTTTTTGAAGAAAAGAGAAACGTGTTAAATTCAATTCTCAACAAAAAGATCTCTTATTTTTACTAGTTATTTTAGGAATTATTTTCTTTTGCATTCCTTATATTATCAACGTGATAAAAACAACATAAAATCATTTGCATTAGTTTATATTTATATATAAACAGTCACTATGAATTACATGATCAATAGATCAATAAGATCTGGATATTACGGGTATTAGATTAAGACATACTGATATTAATTAAAAATAAAGGACGATATAAACTTTAACTAAACCATTGCATTTAAAAATGATATGTTTTATTTCGCTTTTCAGTCCAACCATTTTCAAGATTTTCTATTCAAAAGGCATGGCTCTATAATGATAGCAACACTTAACACTTACAATAATTTCACTGTGTCATTTTTTCTGCATGAAATTGTGTAACGACAGTGTAACCACGGATTTATATTACAATTGTTACAATCAGTTACAGAACATGATTAATCCAGTTTGCACCAGACAAATTCATAAATAATTCTCTCAAAATGGTTAAATATTTACATTGTACACTCTTGGGAAAGCTGATAGCCATAACAGCATTTAACGTAGTCACAATGCATGTTTGTTTAGGACTTGTTGCTGAAATATAGGGGTAGCAAAATGCTCGGAATAACGTTGTGACATATGTAATTATAATTCTGCAGTAACTATTTATAAAATAGTGTGTATGTGCGCGCTCGCGTTATCTTTCCAAAAGGTTTATGGAACGTTGATGCTTCAATCTCAAAACATGAGCACCAACATTCAAACCAGGCACAAATAGGTTTACAACCCTCAATTTGATGGAATTCACTTTGAAAATGATACGCTTTCAATTGTATAATGATAATGGATAAATGCTTTGTTGTTTAATCAAAGTTTGAAACTTCATAACTTCCCTCAAACGAAAACATGGATTTAACTTTACCTTATGATATATAATGCAGGTATCCAAACCATTATTTTCATTAGATATAATCAATCATTTATTTTCAAAACTCATATTCTTATGTGGTATTTTTTGTGCATTGAAGAACAAATCTCTGTAAAGCATCTAGCTTATTCGAGAGTAGCACCAAATTATGATCGAAGTTCAATTTCTAAGACATAAATAACAGAAAAGCATAGAAAAATAAGATTCTGTTGGTTTTGTTATAACTTTTAATCACAAAATATTAAATAAATATTAAAACAAACAACTTAGTTAACGTGTGTAACAAACTGTAGTGCTTACATGTACATTTTACTAACAGTTTGTCATTGTAGTTAATATGATTATAACAATAATAAACATAAACATAATAAACAAGTCTTAGCATTGAAACCCTATTCACTTAGTAGGCTTGCAAATATAATGTCCAATAAATAACAATGACAAAGTCTTTATATTCAGTTATATACACAAAATCCTACAAAAAATGAAACAATTCCTTTACATTAACAATAATCATGGTTCAGTTACGGAACATATTTTCAGAATTCAAATTGTTGTGTGGTTAGCATAATGTGCATTGAAAAAAAATCTCTTTGAAACATCTATATATATTTATATGATACTGGTAAAGAAACTGGACCCATATTTTTAGACACCGAATGAATCATTCAGAAATTTTATGTTAAAAATGAAACAAAATGTTGTAGTATGTTTTCATGTATTGAATGGCTTTACAAAAATATTCAAATTCTTTTTGAAAAATAAAACCTTTTATATCTAAAATAAATTTGTTTGAACGATTTTTCGCTGATGAATTTAAACCTTAACCATGTTAACCCGCTGTATTCCTTAGCTCCCATTTTGGGATCTGTCCGTAATCAATTTTAAGGATATCACAAGATGACAATTAAAAGTTAGCCAACTGTATAGAAGAGCCTGGTCAGACTGCACGGATATTGACAAAAGGCTGGGCTCAATTTTTGCTTCCGGAAAAGTAAGAATTGATATGGTTAAACATATGTAAATTTGAAAGTTACATGTAAGTGACATTTGCTATCATGTGCAAAGAAACGACCGATTTTTACAAGAAATGGTTACATAACTTCACTTGAAGTGAATTACAGTAAATTGTAAGAAAACCAATTACGCAGTATTAAATCTTGAAATTATATAAAAAGTACACATTTGCAGACCGGACTGAAATCTTTTAAATCGACTTTGAGAATCACTTGCCAGAAGACATTAACGCCAAAGGGAACGCACAAAACATACACTTTTAATTGCATTCTTATTTGATTTTTTATCTGATTCTACAAAATATATTTCCAACTGATATGCAATACAATAAATGAAAAAACTGGGCGAACTAAGCAGGGTTCAATGCAGCACTGCTTATAGGACATAAATAGTTTCCATTATATTTGATTTATAAAGTCATTTTAGCTGGTTAATGAAAGTTTTCCTTCTATCCTGTCCAATTATAAACATATTGATAGTGAAATTTAATATGTCTCAAAAGTTTTACTCAAATCAAATACATCATCAAAAATGTTAGTTTTCTTTCTTTATTAAAGTATTTTTATAGCAAACGAAAGAGAATAACACACGTAACAATATCAAACACCGTGAGTAAAAAGCCGTTGGGCAGTAAGTTATAATTTTGTTTACATGTCCACATATGCCTATGATTTATAATTTAAAATTAACAGTTGGAATTTCATTTTTATTTCAATGTCTTATAGTCTATAATTTTAAATTGTTATGATGTTTCTTTTCCGTATTTAGTTTAGTTGTTGATGTTAATTTTCTTAAAGTGTACGGTCACACTTTAATATTTTATTGTTAGACATTGATGCTGTATCTTCATCCCTGACCATCAGTCGTGAGATTTTCTGTCATCATCACCTTACAAATATCTTGACCATCTTATCAAAGTCCGTACTGAAATAAATAAATGATGTCGTTACAAGACTCACCTATTGCATGTTAAGTTTTGTCTAAAACTTCCGACAACATTAAACTGAGGTGTGATGTCTTTGTGCGTATATCTAAAATCCCATATATTTGATTAGGAAAACATTGTTTATAAAGTGATTGCTGTCCCTGAAATGAATATTGTTTCATACGTTTTTCAGTCTGATTACCCTTTAAAATAATGTTCTGAAAAGAAATCCGTTGATTTTCGTACTCGTATTTTATAAAGCTATTTGATATGCTTTGAAAATATCGGAAATTTCAATTATAGATACAGATACTAAAAGCACAACGGATTGAAGTTGAAACAATGTATATAACTTGTAAATAGTATGAACATACAAGTTTTGAATGTTTTCATACATGTTTGCCTTGACAAATTGAAAATGGCCGAGTAGTTGACCGGTCGGTCAAGAAATAAGCATATCTGGCTGCGGGGTTCAAACCACGCCAAGGACAAATTGTTCTTCAGCAAGAAACGTTAAACTCATTGCTTAGTACTGGTTGGTTCCAGAAACGGATTTAAGAATATTTCTTTTACAGCATCGAACTAAAATAAATTCTGTATAAGCTAAAACATAATTTATATGAGAGAGGTTACAGAGGCAAGCAATTAGTTAGGGTTATAGCAAGCATTGCAAAACATATTTTGGAATCGAATAAGACAGATTTTGAAATTAAGTAAAAGAAAGAGTACAGGGAGTAAGAAATAATGATAACGTGTAACAACATTGAATTTTCTATTGTACACGAATCAGGATAACTTAAAAGTGTTACTGTAATTTAAGTACTATATACGATAATTTGTATTCATCTCTTACACAAAACAATATAAGCTGAGTTAAGTTTAAGTTAAGTATTTGAAGGAATAAAACAATTATGCCAATATTGGATCAAGATTATGATTTAAACGTAAATAAAGGGCGTTAAACATGGCATATATTATAGAAATACCTTCTGTAAACTTCAGCTTTTACGGTCATCTTCTCTGAAAGAAAAATGATTTTAGTAGAGTGTTAGTATGCCTTATATACATGTATATATATAAGCAATATGTAGTTAAGAAGGTTAATTGCATAACATATCAGATGTTATTCGTCAGAATAATTGATTTTATGTGTTCTCTTTTGATAAGTGCATCATTCAATTCTAATGTTGATACAATTTTAAACATTACAGCCAAAAACAATGCTTCCATTGAAAAATAAACAGAAACACATAACGTCAATAAGAGACACTACAAAATGATGCCACTTTTGAAAAGTTTTGATTGAGATGACATAACGAAAATCTAATTTCAGATCAGTGCTATATTCTAGTTTAAAAGGTGACGATAAGAGCTTATTATATAGGTCATATTACAAACTTATAAGAAAAACAATGAAACATATAAATGTTTCTTAAGATTTCAATTATATGTAAAAGCAATCATTCATTTTAAAGTTTATAAAAAAGCATTTGCTCAACAAGGTAAATCTTTTTGAAAAAAAGAGAAACGTGTTAAATTCAATTCTCAACAAAAAGATCTCTTATTTTTACTAATAATTTTAGGAATTATTTCTTTTGAATTCCACGTGATAAAAAACATAAAATCATTTGCATTAGTTTATATTTATATATAAACAGTCACTATGAATTACATGATCAATAGATCAATAAGATCTGGATATTACGGGTATTAGATTAAGACATACTGATATTAATTAAAAATAAAGGACGATATAAACTTTAACTAAACCATTGCATTTAAAGATGATATGTTTTATTTCGCTTTTCAGTCCAACCATTTTCAAGATTTTCTATTCAAAGTGCATGGCTCTATAATGATAGCAACACTTAACACTTTCAATAATTTCACTGTGTCATTTTTTCTGCATGAAATTATGTAAGGACAGTCTACTGACAATGTCAATAGCGTTTTAATGCAATATTTATTTTATACCAATGATTTATTTACATATAATAGTGTATTTAATTTTACACAAAATTCAATAACAACTATTGTAATTAAACCATTGCTTTTTTGTAGTTTATCTGACACATTGATTGAGTGAAAAGTCGATAAATATATTGTTGTATATGTTTTCAAAGTTTTTTCAAAGTTTTATTCAATATTCCATTAGGCTAAAAAGCCCATGAGGATAAACATAGCACAAATATCTACATACGACGAACAGTGCATGAATTTAACAAAAAGCAATATGACACCCATACATTCCCAAAAAGAATCTATATGGGAGGAGGTAACATATATAAACTTGTATTTAATTTAGATACATATAAAAGAAATGTAATTATATACATATAATGACTGCACGTATAAATCATTTTACATCTTAACATATTGCTCTGTAATATATATACATCATTATTTTCTCTACCCTACCTTACACGAAAATGAAATGCAAGGTAATGATATATATCCTTTCATAATACAGGTTGAAAAATAATTTTACCAATAAACATCTTCTAACCTTTAGAAAAATGCGAAAACAAAGGTTATAAGACAAAGGTAAATAATCTTACATGAATAATTTTTACAAACATTAATTATATTCTACCATGTGTATATTAAATTCATTTTCTTTATTAGTTACTGAAAAAATATTCATTTCTGAGTATGAAAGCCTTGTGAATAAATAACCCTAATTTCTGTACAACTTTTTTGTCTTCAGATTTTAACAATTCAATAAACTTTATCATATTTGGGCGTTTCCAGAACTTTTTATTAATATATTGTTTTCTTAGATTAATAAATAAGGGACATTCCATGATAAAATGATACTCATCTTCCAGGGAATTACAAACACTACATTTTCTTTCATTAACTGGTGTTCTGATTGGCCTTGTCCACCTTCCTGCTTCTATATTTAATCTATGAGATGATACTCTTAATCTGGTCATTGATTGACAAAATTTGTTAACATTGAAAAATTCTAAATAAGGCTGAAATTGAAAACAAGCTATGTTTCTATAAAATAAGGCTCTGCTTGATTCATTAATTCTACTATACCAGTTTTGTATAAATTGATCATTTATTCTTTGTTTTACAAAATACAAAAATAAATCAATGTTGCCAACACTTTGCTGTAGCCAAGCATCAAAGAAACCAAGAGTACATAGTAATTCTTTTAATGATGAACACCAGTTTAATCTATTTGGAAAATTCTCATAATCATTTTTTAACATATGATAAACTCTATGAACATATTTGTTTTCATGTGAATGAATAATTTTTATCCAAAATTTGATAATATTTAAAAAATGTGTACATTTTAAGCTTGTTCTACCTAATTCCCCGTATACAAAATCATTTTGTGTTGTTTTCTTTACCGCTAAGATTCTTTTACAAAACTGAAGGTGAATTCTTTCAATTGCCACATTATTAGTAAAACCACATACTTCGCTGCAGTAATTTAAAATAGGGGTAACAAGTTTGTCAAATAAATCCAATTTATGTTTAGGAGATATAAAAGTGAATTTATACAAATATCTATTTAATCTAAATATCGCTTTTTGTGCTTGACCTGCTAATGTATCTTGTGCTGTTGAAAGTGATCCACCACATGTAAACACTATACCTAAATACGAAAATTTATTTACAATTTCTACTTGCTCACCATCGAAATAGAACTCTAAATTTCTTGGTAAATTACCGCCCTTTTTGAAAATCATTACTTTAGTTTTTGAAACATTAACTTTCATCTTCCAAGTTTTACAATAATCATTTAGTAGATTCATACACTTTTGTAATTCTTCAGCTGAATTTGCAAATATAACAATGTCATCAGCATATAACAATAAAAATATCTTAAACATATTAACATCAATACCATTTTCTCCATTTTGCAGAAAAATGTCTTCTATATCATTTATAAATAATGAAAATAAAAAAGGAGATAAATATTCTCCCTGTCTAACGCCTAATGTACATGTGCATTCATCACTTAACTCATTTAAATATCTAACTCTTGACTTAACAGACTTATACATCTAAAATTCTACCCCTGATTCCTAATTTAATCATTTTATACCATAAGTTATCTCTTGTAACATAATCAAAAGCTTTGCTAAAATCTACAAACAATGTATACAGTTTTTTACCTTGATTTAATACATGATTTATTAACCCACTCAAAACAAAAACATTATCAGTAGTACTCATATTAGAACGAAATCCAGCTTGGGCTTCGACATACACATTATATTTTTCCGCCCAACATTTTAGCCTGTTATTTAAAATACGAGTAAAGAGTTTACCCAAACAACTAAGTAATGTAACACCTCTATAATTATCTACATTATTAATACTGCCCTTTTTATGCAAAGGAATAATATAACCTTGAGACCATTTTTCTGGAAAATATCCTAATTCAAAAATTTTATTGAATAAAATAGATAACACGGGAGCAAGTATTTCTTTACCAGCAATAAAAAATTCGTTTAAAATAAGATCCGGACCACCCGATCTATTATTTTTAAGTTGTTTTATTCCTAAATAAATTTCATCTATTGAAATGATGGCATTTAATTCTTCGAACATAATTTTAAACTCATTATCACAATATCTTTCATTAAAATATAAAATATCTTCGTCAGGATTAAAAAATACATCATTTGGATTATTAACAGCTTTAAAATAATTCTCAAAAGACGATAATTGTATATTTGATCTTTTTATACCTGCAGACTCTTTCAACATAGACCAATAAAGACGTGCATTTTTAAATCTGCTATCTAAAAGCTTACATGTTTTCTCCTTATCATAATTGTATCTGTTCTTTCTCAAACATGATTTATATTCTTTTCTAGCAGTTACCATATTTTCTCTATTTTCATCCGAATGAAATAATCTATATTCATTAAGAGTATGTAAAAATTTATTTCTCTTTTCATAACACTCTTCATTAAACCATGGACTATCATTCTCACAATTATAAACAATCTCGTCCGACTGTGGTTTTAATTTCTTTTTTAAAATAGGTGATGCTACTTTATCTAATATATTTTCAAAATTAGTAAGACAATTATCAATACTATCATATGTACAACAATTTGAAATTTCATTTGACAACAAATCAATACTTTGTGATACTTCATTATCACTCAAACTGTCAATAAATTCCATTTTCAAACTATTTTTCCATATGTATTTTGATTCAACAAAATTTTGTACTTGATTGTGTATTTTAACATTCTGTAATGTACAAATTCTATTAAATTTAAAGCAACATGATAAAATACAGTGATCCGATAAAATATTTGGATCATCAACTTTGAAACTGTCAATTAACGTAAACATTTCTTTCCTGCATAATACATAATCTATCAAACTGCAACCCCGATGATTAACAAATGTATATTTGCCTAAATTTAAATCTTCATCTATTCGACCATTTAAAATTCTTAAACCAGTCTGTCGGCAAAAATCTAATAATAGCCGTCCATTATTATTAACATGACCTTGATCTTGAGACGACCGCGGCATTTCTGTATCCACTATATAATCTTCTGGTAGCATAGTCATGTGATCGCATATGTCATGTGACACGTAGTCGGGAAGGGTAGATGTTCGCGAGTTAAAATCACCAAATAAGGCCAAATAGCAATCATTTTCACAGTTATTTTCTCCGTATACTACGGAATCTAATAATCGATCAAAAATACAGTTTTCAACTACCGATTGTCGGCTGCTGTCGTCGGGCAAAACATAACATAACCCGACCAAAAGATCTTTTTCAATACAGAGTTTTTCAGCAGAAATTTTGATCCATATAATATCATCTTGACTTGTAAATAACAACGTGTTTTCGGATACAAGATAGTCTTTTACATAAATGATAACACCCCCGGAATTGCGTTTACATGTACTCTTAGTCAGAGTTCTGTTTAAAACGTAATGCTCAAACCCTTCCATATAAATATCTGAAAATTCATTTGTCCAAGTTTCTGTAAACATAATAATGTCATTTTCTTTAAAGATATTTA